GGCTATTGATACTTCGGTTTCTCTCCCGCAAAGGAACAGGACTCGGCGATCCAGAGATATACCCGTCTCGAGGAGGGATCGTTAACCTCATGGGTGTGGGACGCTGTTTCTTGGTGATTCCTGGTCGCAGAGTTCGCCCTCGGGAGACGCTACGAATGCGTTCCTTTTTAGCATCCTCGCTGTCACCATCCTTGGCAGCGATAGCTTGACTATCAATATCGGTACTGTCGATGGGGGCGCTGGAGCTGCGATGCAGTGGCGTCAGTGGTGTCAATTTCTTGATGCCTATCTCGAGAGGCCTATCCTCGTCGCCGGATGACTCTCCGGTGAGATGGCGTCTATGATTGCGCGAGTTGTTTCCGCGAGGAACGGACTTAGGTCCCTTTGGTATCTGTGTACCGTTGGCGAGGGCCTTGGTATAACCAGAGGATGATCTTTTAACCTGCGCGAGATCGAATAGATCTTGAATCCAACTTGCGCAGCGATAGATGTGCTTCCAGCTATCCGGAAAGAAGCCTGCCATTTGCATGAACCCGTGAGATATTCCGGGCAATAGGGATACCTCGACGTGGTCTTTCGCGTTGAACCTACGATAAGACTTTTCGAGGCCCAGTTCTTGTCGTTCCTGAAACTGGCGGAGCTTAGCCTGTCTTAGTCGCCCGGCGAAGATGACCGTGTCGTCGACTAGAGGGTCACGTTCTCCGGTGATAATGTACGTCTTGGGAAAGCGTGCTAGGAGGTCTTCGGGAGCCAAGGCTGGGGAGAGTAGGTAGTCCGTATTGAAGTCGGGGCGGTTGTGCGGTCCGATATATAGGATGATCATTGCCCTCATCATCTCAGGGGTTAATATACGATCATTGACGTACGATATCATCGATGAGACGGCCAGCCGTGTTTGGATCTGCTTAGGCTGGTGCTCAGTGATAGCAGCCGCTTCATTTTCAGGAATGTCCATCTTCTGTTGCTGTGCCAACTTCTCCGAGGTCGCGTCAACCAAATTTCCAACTTCCAAGTCTGCATCAGAGAAAGAGTCACGCTGGAAATCTCCGAACGACGTTCCCGGAGAAGTAAACGGCGTCAACCGGTGATAGTCCATATCTTTCCTTCGGAGCACGCTCTCATTGGTTCGACGTGTGCTTTTCTCTTGGATCAACGCCATCTGCTCTTCCGTCATCCAGCTTTCTATCTTCATGTTTAGCGCGGGATAGGGTAGAACCAGCCCGTCCGGGGGTGGAAGCATGTTTTGTCCTTGCCATCTAGAGGCATGTGTACTGCCGGACTGAAGGATCATAAGTGTAACGCCTGTGGCGAGATTACCACCAGCACTATCACCAGTGATGACGACACGAGGACGAGTCCGTCCGTTGAGGCCCAAGCACCGCCCACGGGTGGAGATAATGGAATGATATACATCATAACACTCGTTTAAAGCATACGGATACGGGTACTCCGGTGCTTTCTTGTAGTCGAGACTCAGTACGGGAACTTTGGTTCTCGCCGCCCAGGCCAGAAGTCGGTCTTCGGAATGCCGAGGGCTCATCGAAACAAATCCACCCCCAGGAATATCAAGGACAATGCATGTTTGATCACGTAGCGCAGTCAATGACCCATCGAAGTAAAGCCATGCATTTGTCGGCTCCTTGTAGATCGAGGACGCTGGTCGGGGGATACGGATAGCACGCGGAGAGTACCTCGTGAGCCGCGGGCGGCCCAATTTGGCGAGTGTCCAGAGATACGGTGTGGTGCTCTTATTCCAAGATACACGCATATGCTCTACTGTGAGTGTAGCACGTACCCGGCGAACTTTCTCATCTGCCTGTTCTGCTGCGATAAGGTAATAACCAGAAAAAACCAGAGACGCAATATCTCGTAGCCACTTTGGCTTTATCCCCATTGCCGTCCAGAACCCAGCGTCTAATCCTGTCGCGATCCATGTTGCCCGGAAAAAGGAGCGCGAGTATAGGTTGGCTAAAGGCTCAGGGCACTCAAGGCCGACAATTTTCGCAAAATTGCGGCAAATGTAGAGCCAGAGGAAAACAAGGACAGTGGTTTGCCAGACGCTCAGCTTTTTCGAGAGGCGCGACGAGATCTTGCGGATAAAAGGAGGACCATTCTTGTTTCCTCTACGATTGATCTGTCAGCAAAACAGCGGTAAGAGACGAACAAACGAGACGCACCTTAACAGATAGGTAGACCAGAATACAAGTACAGCGAGAACCTGGATCTTCCGGAACTTTGTAGATGGCCGCCCAAGGACGTGGTCTGGATGTATATATTAGCAGCAGACTCATGACATCCCATGGGGTTTGCTGGGCCGTCAGTTACCTATCATTTTCCCAAGACAACCCCGGGGTATGAATCAGGCAGCAGCAGTCTATAAGGGCTTTGAAAGACAATCTATGGAAATATACAAGATGCTTAAAAGTATACGGAAGTGAAATAGTGGAAGATAATCAAATGGAAAAATTCATATTTCAACTGCGCACTGAAATGATGGGAGGGGCAGTAAGGAAAGGACAAAGAATGGACAAAAGCGGCGAACCACTGTAAAAGAGGAACAGGTGAGCAACCGGCAAGCAGAACACTTAGCCTGTTAATGATCGAAGTATGTCAATAATGGCACAGTTCGGTGACCCAAGTACGGGGTATGTGGGGGGGGGGAAAGAGAGTAGTTGGCGTAGAGCGAGGGAATCCATGGTTCAGTTGAAGAAACGTAGTTGATGCATGTGAAATCCCCACCAGGGGATGCATGGTGATCCAGTCATCTGGGTAGCGTCAGTAAGCAGCCCTTGAATAACCGGGGTTAGTTGTGGCAGAAGCGCAAAAGCCGGGTTTGGCGTCGATCACTAGTGGCTCTCCGCGGTGGCTAGCTGGATGATGATGATGATGATAGCAAGATGAGTATTACGGAGTAATAGTTAGTAGTTGTGGGCGAAGGGAAAAGGCGGAGGATTGCCCGTGCCGGTCACGGGGGAGCACGGTCACATGCAAATCCCGCCACAAAACAACTCATGTGCCATTCCTCTTCTGGCATTTCCGAAATGCCTCGACCCAAGCTAATAATGTATGAGAGGTTCACGTCTATTTTCTATAATTTATAATAGTATAGCATTTCTTTTCCCTTATCTTTCTAGACTCCTTTACTTCTCATAATTTCCGACAATAGTCGCGACCGTGGGCAACTTGCCAATCACACAACCATACCTCAAACACCATTCCCAGAAATCCCGCTATACAAATTCCGGCGGAGTCACTGACAGTCGTCGCTCCGAGTGAGAATTCGCGGTCCTCTTTCGGTACCCGGTCCCCAATTTCGGCGAAAGTATTAACATAAACCAGTCCCCCTAACAGCCCTTCCCAGAAGATGATTATAAAGATTATGTACACGCTCGGGATGAAGTCAAATAAGGCGTTCAATGTCAAGACGACCAGATTGATGATCTGCAGCAGTGACGGAAGGTAGAGATCGTGAATGCGGAAGAAAGGGGTCGACGATCGAGAGATGAAAACACCAACCTGATAGATCGCATTGTACGCGGGATAGAACGCACGGTAATGCTCGAAAGGCGAATCTTTAAGTGGAAACAGAAGGGTTGGAGAGACACCTTGGTTGATCGTGTATTCGGCCACATAGACTAGCAGCAGGGGAAGCATACTGTGCGGCCAAGAATAAGCATGCCAATCATTGCTAGATGACACTAGCGTGCACTTACAAGGGAAAGAAAAGACCCTTAGCTCGCTGCAGGTTGGCTTTAAACACCCGCAAGCTAAGCATCTGACTCGCGTCGCTCCCTTTGTTTCGGCTTGGGGAAACTGACGAGCCGAGTAGACCGTGCCGCTCATCCAGAGGGTCATCCCGATCCCGATCCTCCTGGTCAATCGCACGATACGCAACAGGTGCAGCAGGCAATGTCCGTATGGGGGCTCTTGGCAGAATGGTGAAGAAGCTCACCACCATGATCGCTGGCAGGCAGGCAGCTGCTAGGAGCGTCGACTTGACACTGAGCCCCATAGAGGTAGTTGCAACGGCGTACGCACCAGCACCGACCAGCCCGGCGGCTCCGGTACCACTACCCCAGGCTGCCAGACTAAACGGGCCGTAGAAGTGCGTCAGTGCGAGGAAGCTCAGTTCGCCTCCTCCGCTCGACAAGCTCGCCAGAATGATACCCGCGATTTTGGTGGAAATTGAACCGCCATCTGTATAGGCTGGGCTCAAGGCCACTAAAAGCATACCCAGAGCTGAACATAGCACACAGAACAATACCCGAGCAGGATATGGAACCAAATGGATAAAGTAGGGTGCAATCAGCTTCGTTCCGAATGAGGGAATGACATCTGCGAGAAGAACAACGCCCTTAGGGACACTAGGCCCTACCAAATCGAGGGCAGCGGACAAAATGATAACATAGAGGACATTGTTGATCAAGCCTATTGGATTTCACGCATGCCGGTTAGTGAGCCACGAAGAGTTCTTATCAGTTCGCGGAGTCTACAAGACAGCCAACGGCTTACCAAGTAGCCAGAATGCAACACAGACCCTGGGGTCAGCGCCATGAAACAATGCACCGAATCTCTCACGAAATCGGGACCATGAAGAAGACGGGGCTCCAGGAAGAGGCAGCATTGGTTGCCCGTCAGGAGCAGAAGACATAACCTGATAGGGGAAGGAAGGAATCCGAGTGGTTCTAGTATGCTACAAATAACGTCCCAGAATGAATACAGCAGGACTGATCACAGTATTCGGTACGATCAGGGAGTAGATAGGCTGCAATGGGGCATTCTCATGGCGATACGGATTGACGGTGAACGTGGTAGTAGTTACTTGGTAGGTACCTGAAGGATGATAAGCGTGTCACGCTCATCCGTCCAGAAAGGGCGGTCCCACGTGACGCCTTACTCAATGCAGTAGTAGTTGTCGGTCCTCGATTCCATCACGCGGTATCGCATATGAAACATGCATACAATGAAAATTAGAGTGAGCAGAACCACCAGACATTCAGAATAATTCCACTTACGAGCCATCAAGGCATCCATCTCTCATGGCTTACTGTCCATCCAGCTCACCGCCGGGGGTGCAATACACCCGGCAGAAAGGCCGACTGCTATCGGGACGATCAGGGCTTATCGGGTAATGCTTTCTGCCATCGCGATTCTTCCTTCTTCCGTCCCGACCTCCGCCACTCCGCATCTTCTTTCTCCAACTCTCCACCAGCTTCAAGCAAGACCAGATCATACCACAGAGCTTAACGTTCTCTCATTATCTCTCTGATAATAATCAAAGTTAATTAACGACCACAATGTTCCTTCGCGCCGCAATCCGTCTCCCCACCAAATCCTCTCTCCCTCTCCGCGCTTTCTCAACCCGCGCGGCCCTCCTCTCCGACAAGCCTCCCTTCGCATTTGCTAGCGGTCCGGCTCCTCCGCGTCTCCCTAAAGAGGAGCAAGAAATCTTCGAAGAGCTCCAGCGCAAGTCTACCGGTGCCTTCAGCACCCCGCAGATCAACCAATCGCCCGACTCAGAGCCCGCAGTGGCAGCCGAGATCAACGCCACCGGCAAGGGCGAGGAGCTTCATCCCGATGTGAAGTATGGAGTGAAGCCTGAGTTTGAAGGAGAGAAGAACCCCAAGACTGGCGAGATTGGTGGACCGAAGAACGAGCCTCTGAGGTGGGGTGCTGAGGGTGACTGGAGCTATGGTGGACGGGTTACGGATTTCTAGAGATGTCATTTCTCTGTTCAATGTCCGTGGATGTTGATATATATAAAATAAGGTGCATGTGGAGGCTGGCTTTGGTGCCTGTTTGCATGAGTGGCGTTGGTTATTGATTGTATAATGATTATAGAGCTCTTTCTTCCCCCTCTCCTCTCTCGTCCTGTGATATATGTGTATATTATGTCGGCATTGAATCATGTTTCGAATGCCCCGATCTTGCATGGTCAGTTGTGAATATATCGCTGAATTATTGTCGACAAAGTCTCCTTACATCCGGTTCCTTTACCTGCTGGTCTATACCCGAGACAAAGTGCTTGCAGCGAAATGGGCCAGTTTGTTATTGGCCAAGCAATGCACGGGAAATCAAATACCAATATATATTTGATGACCAGAGCCTGAGTGTAAACACTGTTCTTTCTTATTGAAACTTCAAGGAGTAATTAATGGTGGTCAGCGGGCGCCTTTTAATCCTGCCTGATTGGTGCATGGCAGACTGGCGGGCAATAACCCTAATATGTATATATATAGTAGCACTACTTACTACATCGGGCCCGGGCTTCTGATAGGGAGCTGGACATAGTCAACAACTAGTTAATAGTAACAACCACTTCCACAAGGGCTAATTATTAGGAGATAGCAAAACCACGAGCAATCATGCTCCGGTCTTTGCGACGAACACAAGTCTTCTTATCAGTGACACAGTCTCTGCGATCCTCTCGCTCGCAGCAACGGCAATTATCTGAATGTGGAAATAAACACAGCACTCCGTCGTCACACCCCTTCCTTGATCACCAACCCTCAAAAGCACCTCCTAGTGGGTATACCTCACTCTGTAGCAGAATTATGTCGTTATTAACCATCAATTCTAGAAGACGATCCATACACATACACCGGAGGAAGATGGCTGCATCGCGACAAACTCCAGCGAGACTGTCGCCGCATACAGTTCAACTTCCCTGCACTCTGTGACAGAGTTATTCATCTAAGTCCAGGTGCAACGAAGGTCGCCAAGTACGAAAAGTAAGATGGTGGGTTCAATAGAGTCTTTATCTTTACCATGGACACAGGCTCTCGTATCGTAGCAAGGCTGCCGACCGGTATTGCTGGCCCTCCAAGGTTGACAACCAACTCCGAAGTCGCGACAATGACATATTGTGGGATTGGACCTGACCCTCCATCACACGATCCCACTTTTATATGACACTGATAACGTCAATGATGTAGTACGATCCAAGCTGTCACTTCCATTACCCAAAGTCCTAGATTGGAGTGACGATCCAGCTAATCCGATCGGCACTGAGTATATCGTCCAGGAGCATGTTGAAGGAGTGCAACTTCATCAGATCTGGCCTCACATTGAACTCGGAGCAACACATGCTTTGCACCAAAGCCTTGTCGACGGCAATCAAGCAGATGGCGTCACTGGACTTCCCAGCTTATTGAAGTCTATACTTTGCTGATGCGCCTCTCGAAGCGCATATGAAAATCCCCTTTGAACAAGGGTTCTGTATCGGACCGCAATGCAGTCCACTCTTTTGGAATAGAAGCCCAGGAGAGCTGGAGCTCTACGGAGGACCAAGTCCTAATTGCGGTCCTTGTTAGTCTCGTACCCTCATACACTACGCCCAATTTCTAACACAGCGTGTCAACTCTAGGGCGTGACCTCACAAGCTATTGCACAGGTCTGATTGAGACCGGCTTTTCTCGACTACCAAAAGAAGGAAATGCCAAGCATCACTTCCCTCACCAAGGGTCGATTCAAGATCACGTTCAATTGCTCCGTACAAGCCAAAAAGTGATGCAGAGGCTTATCGAAGATAAGCGCATCAAGGATGCTGCTGCGCCAGCTTTAGTACACCCTGACTTCCACAAGAGAAATATATATGTCTCAGCAGAAGATCCCACTGTCATCACTGGTATAATTGACTGGCAATCAACAAGCATCGAACCTTCTTTCATTTATGCCAACGAGACTCCCGACTTTGCCACTCCTCCTCAAGACATCGAAGGAGAAATATTCGGCAACAGGAAAGGCGAATCAACCCCTATTCAGACAGAGAAAGAGCGGAAAGATGTCTCGATCTGTTATCAGACATACGACGTATGTATGAAAGGTCTAACCCCCAAACTTCGACCCGCAAGACTCCTCGATCCGATGTTATTCCGACTCTTCCACTACACCCACGCAACCTGGAGAGATAGCGCGACTGCTGTCCGTCAAGAACTGATGGAGCTATCGGATCGGTGGTCTGAGCTGGGATTGCATGGGACGTGCCCGTATTCTCTTTCCGACGAAGAACGTAATAAGCATGCTAAGGACTATGAGGACTTTGAAGCGGTGCAGAGTCTCAAGCTGTGGCTCAAACACTCTTTAAATACGAATTCTGATGGCTGGGTTCCGAATGATGTTTGGAATGCGGCTAAGGATGCTCATCGGGCGGTTTATGATGAGTGGATTGAGACGGCGAGGGGGTTTGAGGACAAGGGGGAGCAGGGAATGACGGTGGAGAAGGCGGAGAGGTTGTGGCCGTTTGATGAGAGATAATTTACTATGTATTATTGTAATCGTCTAGCATGATGTTGTTCTACAGCGATGGATGTTAGCGTCGAATGATTAGGGTGTGCAACTTGGTTGAAGATCAGTAAATACTATGAACGATGGCTAAGGTTGCTATGTAACAAGACGATAAAGTTATCTGCGAGCACTGATTCACTCTTCCATCCGCGCCAATATGGCCTTGCCCGCACGACTCTCATTAGCCCGGCCCAGCTCCCCACTAATCCAGGAACCAATTTTGGCCATTTCCTCCAAATTGATGCCGGTGTGCATGCCGAGACCATGAATGGTGTGTACAAGGTCCTCCGTCGAGACATTCCCCGTCGCACCCTTGGAGTAAGGACAACCACCAAGACCACCCACACTACTATCGAAGATGCGGATACCATGCTCCAGCCCTACAATGGTGTTGACGAGAGCCTGTCCATAAGTATCGTGAAAATGCAGCGCCAGATCGTTATTCGCAATACCGGCCGCCTTCAGAGCCTGCAGGAGCTTCATGGTGCGGGGTGCCGTGCCCATGCCCGTAGTATCAGCCACCGACACCTCGTCGGCTCCCATTTCAAGTAGCGTTGCCGTGATATCAGCTACCTTGGCTGGGGATACATCGGGACCCTCGTACGGACAGCCCAGAGTAACAGAAACGTAGCCTCTCACTCGGATGTTCTTCGTCTTTGCTAACGAGACAATCGGACGGGTGCGTTCTAGTGACTCCTCGATTGTGCAGTTGATGTTGGCCTTGGAGAATGCCTCTGTTGCTGCTACGAACACAGATACCTCGGTTGTTGTCGGAGGTTTCGTAGCAGAGCCTGTCGTGTCTGCTGGGACGCCCGTGGCATCCATAACTTTGATCAGGTTCTCTAGACCCCGCACATTAGGAACGAGGTAGTTGTAGGCAATGGCGTTCTGCGACTGTGGGGGAGTCTGGAGGAGGTGCTCGCAGATCTCTGCAGTGCTGGCCATCTATCATACATATGCATGTTAGTCTTGTAGTCCAAGTAGGAACGGCGTCGTTGCTACTCAATCCGGATGCGAGCTGTCAGTACGTACCTGAGGCACCCATTTCGCTGGGACAAAAGATCCCGCCTCAATTGTCGTTACACCCGTTTTAGCCAGCTTCTCAATAAGCTGGAGCTTCGTCTCAAGTGGGATCGACTTTTTCTCGTTCTGTAGACCATCTCGTGGCCCTACTTCAACGATGCGAACATGGTCCGTGGTTAACCGCGCCTCAGTCGCAAAGCGGCGTCGAGCTGGGACCGTGCGAAGGGCAGAGAAGAGGCTCATTCGAGGTCGGAAGGTCATCATTTTGGCAATTGATATCAGCTGTGAGACATGTACAAGAAGCTCCTAAGCACTATGAAAGAATATTCAAACCGCGCGACAGCTCCCTGGAAAAGAGGAGGAGAAGTGGTGATGGCAGGATGAACTGATCAGCTCGTCCTGCGGAATGCGGAGAACCGACCGAGGCCGAACGGCGTGACCCCACCTGACCCGCCCTGCTGACTCAGCCTAAAATATCCATCATCCCACTTTGGAGTCACTTTATCGCTGCTCCATAGCGCCCTCTATCACACCCATATTACACCATGAACGGCATACCTGAAGACTCCGCGCCATCGAGCGCCCCATTGCGACAGCCCAAGAAGAGATTTGTCGGTCGCCGGACAGCAGACGCCCAAGCACAGAAGGATGCGTCCACCGCACAAAATGTCGAGACGACCAGTATACAAAAGGGTCAGTACCCCTCCAACAGCCAACACTACATGCGTTCACAACTTCACCTCCAACCCCCCAACACACTAACACTCTCATCAACATAGCCACCCCCCGCCGCACCCCCCGCACCCTAAACCAAGTCCCCCCGGAAATCCTCGAAGACCCCGAAATCCTCGCCGCCATCGAACTCCTCCCACGCAACTACTCCTTCGAGATCCCCAAAACAATCCACCGCATCCGCACCTCCGGCGCCAAACGCGTGGCTCTCCAATTCCCCGAAGGCCTTCTCATCTTCGCCACCACCATCTCCGACATCCTGACCCAATTCTGCCCGGGCATCGAAACCCTCATCATGGGCGACGTGACCTACGGCGCCTGCTGCATCGACGACTACACAGCGCGCGCACTGGGGTGCGACCTCCTCGTCCACTACGCCCACAGCTGCCTGATCCCGGTAGACGTCACCAAGATCAAAACCCTCTACATCTTCGTCGACATCAGCATCGACACAACCCACCTAATCGCCACCCTCGAACGCAACTTCCAACCCGGAAAAACAATCGCCACTGTCGGCACCATCCAATTCAACGCTACTCTTCACGGTCTGAAACCCGTTCTCGAGCGTGCAGGCTTCAAGGTCCTCATCCCGCAGATCATGCCTCTCTCCAAGGGAGAAATCCTAGGATGTACATCCCCGACCCTCTCCGCTGACGAAGTCGACATCCTTCTCTACCTCGGCGACGGCCGCTTCCATCTCGAGTCCGCGATGATCCATAACCCGGCTATTCCGGCGTATCGGTATGATCCGTATTCGAGGACGTTGTCCAGGGAGACGTATGTTCATGATGAGATGCACACGCTGCGCCGGGATGCGATCAATACGGCGAAGTCGGCGAAGAAATGGGGGATTATTCTGGGGTCGTTGGGTCGGCAGGGCAATCCGAATACGATGGCGATGATTGAGAGGCATTTGAATGAGAGGGGCATTCCGTTCGTGAATCTCCTCCTGAGTGAGATTTTCCCCGGGAAGTTGGCGTCCATGGCGGATGTGGAGTGCTGGGTGCAGATTGCTTGTCCGCGGTTGAGTATTGATTGGGGATATGCGTTTGCGAGACCGCTGTTGACGCCGTATGAGGCGTTGATTGCGTTGGGGGTGAGGGAGGGGTGGGAGACGGAGAATAACGGAGTGTATCCGATGGACTTTTATGCGAAGGAGGGGCTGGGGAGGACGAAGCCGAGTCAGGCGATTGCGGCGTGAGGTTTATGATGATGTCAAGTGATGTTTTTGCATGATGCATATGAATGACTATAGATGTGATTTAGGTTTGTCTGGGATACAAAAGCTCATGGTTATGAAATAGAATTACCATGTTCTCTTTGCGGAACATGTGGGAAGCATTCGTCTATTTTTCGAACATGTGGGTAATAATAATAATAATACATCAATCAAGTACGCTACAGTGCGGCATACATCGTTCATGATCCTTTGACCTCATCCGCACTATCCGTGTTGAGGTCACTGGCACTTCCTCGCCGCAGCGAGAGGATGCTCTTGCTGGCGAACTCGTCCGCCGTCCGCTCTGCCGCGCGCCATCGCGTAACAGCTTGCTCGACATCTTCGAACATTTCCAGCGTATCCTTGATGATACCGCCCTCTTCCTGTTCGGGAACCTGCGTGCTCTCTCTTGACCCACTATCGCTGATCATAGGGAAGGCAGGCCCAAAGCCACGTTGAGGGATAGGGTTAAACATCACGGCGTTGGCGAACATACGTATCAACTCCTTCTCCAGCTGCGCCGAATTCACAATACCCTTCGGAGGAATAATGTCCTCTGTCTTTTGCAACATAAGGACTGCATTCTTCGAAGGAGTCCCTGTACCCGGCGCCGGTGATTCCCCGTCGCCTGCCGGTGTGCTCGCGGCCTCTGTAGCTGCCGCCAGCGCCCTGCTACCCTGGTGAATCAGCGACTTGATGGTCTTGATATCTTGCGGGCGGTAGATAAGATCGCGGTATCCCGGTGCGTCACGTTCTGTCAGCGGCTTTGAAAAGGTGCCTGCAACCTTGTGCATGCTAAGCTCACTCATGATGGGAGCTCCGGTCCGGGGGAAGTTGCGCGCGCAGACTACATACGACGTCGACTGATTAGGATCAACGCGAGTGAGCTGGCTAAGCTCAGACTGAGTAGGTTCGGCCTCTAGGCTCTCACTCGGAGCACGCTTGCGCTTCGGCCGCCCCCTGCTCGGCCGACTGACCGAAGGACGTTCGGGCTCTGCCATTTCTGAGATACCAGCTGGAGTACTGGGTACTTCATGCTTGATTTTCGCCTGGGAGCCAGTCCCCGTATCCGCTGTGGACTCTTCGTCCCGCGACAACACAGACCTTCCTCGGCTTCGGGACGACGCTGTGCTTCTGTCACGGCCCTTACCGCTAGACAGCGTTCCCCTCTCACTCTTCCGTTTAGTCCCTCCCTTGCTCTCTGCATCAATCGACAGTGTCTGATCAGCGCCAGTTCCATTGCTTTTCGTCTCGGTCCTCCGCTTTCGACGGCGGGGCTCAGGCTCCTCTGGTGTCGGCTCACGAGAACCCGGCAAAGACGGCGCTTTCTCACTGATAGGACTGATCTCCTCAGGCCGTGGCCGTTCGGGCGAACGAGGAGAGTGGGGGATGCTCAGCCGTGGAGTCCGCTTCCATGGTGTGAGAGAGCCAGGTGTAAGAACGCCCGTGTCAATCGAAGGCCGGAGAGGCCGCGTGCTCTGTGGCCGCGAAAGGATGGAACCCTGCGCAGGTCCAACCGGGGTCTGGAACGCGGGTGGTGGAATGTTCTGGGCAGGTGTGTGGGCGGCCGCAGGCACAGGTCCTGGAGTTGACGGAGCAGGTGTTGGGCGTGGTCCTTGCGGTCCCTTCTTGTTTTCGAAGGCTGGGGTGGGTGGAGGGAAGGGAGACTGAACCGGTCGCCCAGAAACAGCGGCGTTCGTCGGCTCTGGTTTCGGCTTTGCGAATGCTGGGGGAGGTTGTGGCGTTTGTGGAGGTTTGTTTAGAGACCACTGCTGGAAACTAGCCTGGGGCGGAGGTCGCTGAGGCGCCGGGCTAGCAGTTGGAACAGACTGTCCTTCCTTGGCAGAGGGCTTGCTGGCCAGAACTGGCTGTTGCGGGGTGGAAGGGACTGGCACACTTGCTTTCTGTGGAGCTTGCGAAGGTGTAACAGCGGGAGGGCGTGCGACACCCGGGCTGGGAACTGAGGCATTGGGCGGTCTTGGCGACGGAGCCGGTGGCGCGGCCGCTGGTGCGTGGTTTACAGGGGCATTCTTGGGCACAATAGCTGGTTGTGATGGTGTCGGGAACGCCTTTCCATTCGGGGCTGGTGGCTGCTGAGGCGGCCGACCCGTCGCTACCTGAGGGTTGGGCTGAGGACGAGGTGCCGGTTGTAATGGCTGTTGAGGTTGTTGTTGCGGCAGTGGCTGAGGCTGAGGCTGTTGCTGGAGCTTTGCCTTGTTTGTCGGTGGCAGTTCGACGGGCTGTACCGACGGCGCGGCCAGAGGCTGGGGTTCCTGCGGTGGGCGCGCGACAGGTTGCGCGGGCTGCTTGCTTGAATCCAGCTCCTTCCGCTGCGGTTCCAGTGGAGGCTGCTTAACATCAGCAGCTACCGACGGGGTTGCAACTGGCATAGCTTCATCGCGGGGTCGTTGAATTGGCTTCTGTTCCTTCACATCCACATCCATCGGTTCTGGCGCGGGCTCCTGCTTCGCTGGCGCAATCGGCTGCGCTGGTGGAGGTCTTGCGGAGGTCTCCGAGAGCGCATCGCGTCCCTCCTCCTGTAGCTGATCGATCTCCTTCCTAATATCCCTATACCTCTGCTCTTCATTCTGAATCTCCCGCGTTACCAGCTCCTTGTATCTGGCATATAGGTGCGACACTAGCCTGGGCACTTTGCTGGCGTGGTTGTAACCTTTCTCCGCCAGTCCGTCCGCTCGAGGGCTGGATATCTTGCGCTTCTTAGGGTTATTGGGGGCCGGGCTCTCAGCATGGTGACCGTTGGGTCCCGCGTTTGCTGAATCCCAGCCATCTCGCATCAGCGTCGCATAGAGATCCTCCAAGGCTTCGGGGCTGAGCCTTGCCGCATCGTAGGCGGCATTCTCTCGAATGAAGGGGTTGTTGCGGAGCACATCGGAGATGGAGACGAAGTTCGCGGGAGGTGATTCTAGGCCGGCGAGAGACTGGAAGAAGAGGAGGGATTCAAAAGGCGTGTAGACCGATAGAGGAGGCATCCCCCATTGCCCGTCGAATCGGCCACTGGGGGGGAAGTATTTAGGGATTGGGGCCACGGTGATAGGAGTAATCGCAGGATTGTCGGCCCGACGAGCTCAGTCCGAAAGGCGACAAAGTCCCTCGTCGTACTACTAGATAGAGTCGTGGGTAGCACCGAAGCAGGATGAGAGACGGATACCTGAGATTCCAGGCCGACAAGACGCGAACGTGAGCGAAGGTCAGGGTGGCGGTTCAGACCATCCGCGCAGAAAAATGAAGGGCCGACCGCAAGGGAAAAATCGGAGGGAAGGTCAAAAAGGTTGGAGAACGCGATAGAGTCGCGAAAGGGAGGCCGTGGGATGGGAAAAAAAAAAGCTAAATTTGAATTACGTACAGCGGTAATGGGATCGTGAATAAAGAGTGATGGAAAGGATAGGCGAGATGACGGGGACTGGGGATGGATGGCTGAAGGGGACGGACGGGGGGAGGGATAGGATGGGATGGGGATGGGATGGCATCGCCTTTGCGGGCAATTCACCGGGAGGAAAGGACTCTGTTTCCTCCAGAATGGGAGTCCCTCCCCTTTCGTTTCTTCCCCCCAAACGGGAACTGGCTGCTCTTGGGTCACGTGGGAGACTGGAATGCCTTTCCGGGCACGCCGGACTTGTTTTCCTGCTTCGGAGTCACTGGCGGCAGCTTTTCCGAGAGCACCCAGTAGTCCCAGCCTTCATCTCTCCTCACCTGCTCTTCCTTCCATCCAAGCCCAATCAGCGCATTTTCCATATTCTGGACTTGTCCCCTATTTTCATGGATCGTGTACCTTTTGCGCTTCATGACATATGTTCGATTTGCTCCGTTTCTCAAGAGCAGCCGAACCATAGACACAGACCGTTGCCGGACGGCTAACATCAGCGGGGCTTGTCTACCTACTGTCGCGCTACGCGGATGATATTCATTTACATCCGCTCCATACTGCAACAGTATCTCGGCAATCTCTTCTTGTCCAGCTATCACGGCCTTTTGCAATGGCGTACTATGCCGAGACTCCCCATTTGGACTAACTCCAAGTTCCAGAAGCAGCTGCACCATCTGTGATATTCGCTGCCAGGCGCAGGGGCCTTCCATAGCGCTGAGCAGCAACAGTCTACCCTGTTCAGGTGTAAGAGGAGCGCTGAGACGAGCAAACAGCCATCGCACCGCTGCAAACTGTGTGAAGCAAACAGCCAGCCGCAACGGCCTCAGGAGATCATTCAATACCCGGGGATACCGCTCCACAAAGAACTCCATCAGCTCTACATCGCCCCTGCGCGCCAATTTCTCCAATGCTTGCCTGCATACGTAAAATGGCTTAGTAGGGTCAGCGTGTTCCTCTTGGTGATGATGCTCAAGCCATATTCCCAGCGCCTCTTTGTTCCGAGATATCGCAGCCATGGCCAAGGCACTCATGGGGATTCTATAGATCCAGTTGTACCACATGGAACATCCATGCTCCACCATAGTTTTAGCGATCTCTCTGTTCCCTCTTTGAGCTGCGACACTTATCGGGATGACCCCAAATCGTAGACATGGCTGCTGTGGATCCAAACCGTTCCGCAGTGCTGTGCTCAGTTCCGCACAGTCCCCCCGTAAGATGGCCATACAGGCCAAGATAATCGGCATCGACTTTTCAATCGGCTCATTGAACCTGTCGTTCACTTTATCAATCCACCACTGACATACCAGGCTATGGAACATGTTTGATGGATCATTGTTCCCCGCTATCGCCACATCAATCAACCCCTCAGTCAATTTATCCTTGTCCTCCAACGCAGGAGCATCCCCCAACTGGTACTCTATCACCTCCTGCACGAAATACGTAAAAGCACACGGTCTGTGCGAATGCTCTCGTAACTTTCGCTGCAGGTAAAGCCGTTTCAGTCGATCAGGAAAAGTACCCCATGGTGATGAGTCCAGTTTCTCTTTAGTCAAGAAAGTAAATAACTCTTCCAGATCCTCGCCATTTATAAGATAGTCGATGATCTCTTCGTTAAACAGGCCTGCTATTCTGTCAGTTTGAATGCTCAGGGAGAATGATTGGGTGGCCGTCACGCACTATTCACT